CCGTCGCAATGCTATTGAAAATGAAATGATAGCCGCCTTTGAACTGCAATAAGCGCTCAGATTATCGGCGGTCAGACGCCCACCCATACTAGCGGTGATTACTATACGACCTGTCATTTAATGATAATTTAATTAAAAATATTTTTTTATAAACCAGAAATATTAATAATCAATATATACTGTATATGTATGTTATAATTATTTGATATGTTAAGTTAATATTATGTTAAGTAATTAATGTTAGAATCTATTTTATAATATAGTATACACAGTAATAAAGTTTTATAGATATTGTAAAATGAAATAAACATTATTTTTATCTATTATATGTTACCTCTTGATAGCCTAATAAGTGGTATAAATTTTCTGGTCACCCGAATCACTGTGGAGGTCGTGGTGCTGGCTATGGGAGCGGTGGGCGCCTATAGGGAGTCCTACTGCCTATGCATGGCTTACACTATAATACTGGGCTTTTTTGCGATCGTATCCCTGGGCGAGATGTTTGTGAACGTACGGTATGTCGGCACGTTGGTCATGAACCTGGCCCTCGCATACCTGGCCTTCTCGTTCGGCACCGAATGCAGACTCAACGCCCGCACTACCCGTCCTACCGGTGCGGTCGGCGCTCACAACCCGTTCATTGTGTTGGACGAGGAGTCCAATGAAAATCTCACCAAAAACTATAATATGGTCTAAAAGTTTGAGTTTTTAATTTGCACTCAAACTCTGATTTTTGCTTAATTTGATTATCATTAAGGTTGTGAAATGTGTTACTTTTAATTACCTTTTGCCTAATTAGTTATACTTAATTACCCGATCATAACGCCATCTATTAATGAGTGATAGACCAGTGAATCATAAGTTTGTTATAAAACTCAATAATTTCAAGAATGATAAGAATATTCTGATTGTGATCACCAAATGTGATGTTAATTCTGATGGCTTTTATACACATTTAATTTCAATGAAAACTAATTGATTTAATCAATACTATATAATCAGTAAAACTGCATTTTATATAAGACTTAATGATAGCTTTAATTTCAAATATACCGGTAATAACTTATATTAATCCTATTATAAATTATAATTGATGTGATCAATAACATTGTCATTAGTGACACTAAAATCTTAAAAATTGTTATAACAATAGTACTTATAAATAAATAAATTTTAAATGTAATTGTTTTTGTATTACAGTATAATTTAATTAATAAACAAAATATTTGACTAAAACACTGAATTTATTAAAAACGAAATTACAACATGGTTTTCAGACAATTAAATTTCCTATTGTATGGTAATTGGTTTAACATGACAGCCATTGGTGGTCATAAACTTTTAAAAATTTCTAAACCTCAAAATTGAATTCAGTTTAATTTACCAAACAATTAATAGTTCTATAGTAATTTATATTCAAGGTACAAAAATCATATTTTATTTTGTTTAGTTTTGTTGACAAACGCCGGTTTAGTATTCATGGCATAAAATACTCGGTCGACTATCCATTGCGGCAACAATGGTATGAACGGAGGAATTATTTTAAACATAAACCTATTGACCGGTGTATACCGTCTGTTTGGACTGACACTAACCACGGCAGCGATCATATCATTAACCACAATATCCAGGTTCTTGGTGCCCATTCCTATTTTGAACTCCCAGTCCAGTACTTTCAATTGGTGTGCAAAATAGTGCTCACCATAAGCCTCGCGAATAGTGTCATCGGTTGTCATCCAATTCCTATCGAGCGATGGTTTTGCCATTTCATACATCGCTGTCTTGAACAGTAGGGGCTCTATAGTCGACACTTTCACTTTGAATTTTCTCATCTCCCGGCGCAAGGCATCCGAATAGGCAATGATGGAGAATTTGGACATACAGTACACCCCGAGATTGTCGGCTACTAAACGCCCGCCAAGACTGGCCACGATTACGATACGACCTATTATTGTAAACAACATTACTAACATGTATGTTTTTATTTAAAATACAGTATACCTTGTGATAGCCTGATAAGAGGGGTAAATTTTCTGGTCACCCGAATCACACCAAACACATTGACGTCAAATGTTTTGGTGATCTCATCGAAAGGACCCCATTCTGTGTGACCATACGTGACAACACCGGCGTTGTTCACCACTGCCCACAATACACATCCATTTTTCTGTAGGTCTGACTCAACAAAATCATAGCATCTGTTGATTTGGTCCTCTTTCGTGACATTCATTTCCAAAACACACATATTGTCCGCAAACTTGCATTTTGTAGTCAAATCCTGAGCGCCGACACTTTGTTCACTCAAAACGGTCGCATAGACTCTGAATCCCAATTCATTTAATCTAAACGCCAGTCGATTACCAAAACCTGAATCACAGCCTAAATAAGTATAACCATAATTAATATTTATACCAAATATTTAGTATAATATAATTTATATAAACTTTACTAAAATATTAAATGATAAACTTCTAAAAATATATAAACATGGTATGATAACGGGAAATAAGATTTAGAAATATTACTATAATATCAATTCAAATATTTTTAAAATTTAACGAAAACCAAAATTAGATTAAGATTATACCTGTTATTAAAACAGATTTATCTTTTGGTGAGATTTTTCTCCAGAACATTTTTATATTTAAAAAATAAGTATTAACTTTTTAAAAATTAAATAATATATGTTCATACAGTGTCTCTAAACTGATTTAAGACGAAACAATTATATACAGTAATCCTAGTTTTTTGAATTTAAATATTTCTAGTAATAAGGAAATTATTGTAGAAAATTTTATTTGTCTTTTGGTACTCAATATATTCAATAAATACTGTATAACCGGTTTGGTATTTTTAATATTGAATGTGATCAATTATTTATTTAACAATTGTAAAAACTAATGATTTTTAGAAATTATTTTAATTACTCAAAGATCACAGATATTCTGGTATCAACTATATCGTATACAAATTGTACAGTTTTATAGAGTATTACAATAATATAATATTACGTTTATTTTATACTGGGTATTCATAAAAGTTAATTGATTCGTTTGAAATATATAATTGATGCTTAAATATAAGTTACAACAATAAATCATATTTAACGTAATATTTTTATAATTTTATTTAGTTTAATTTACTTGATAACTGGTATATTTATAAAAAGTATTGTTTAATTTCACCACGTAAAGAATTTATGTTTTTATACATTGTAGTTTATTTGAAAGGCGTTATTAATTTATTCATTAGATAAGATTATTCCATTGTTATTCCTAAGATTGTTCATGATGACATTTAAATAATTAGTATTCATATTCAAAAGTCCTCAATGTCTATCATCGAATAAAATACACAATACATTTTTAATGAATCAATTATTTTTGTATATCTATTCTATTTAATATTATTATTTATTATTTATTAATCCATTAATCCATATTCAATATAATAAAATATTTATTTCCGTTTCTGTCTCATGAACTCGGGTTTCGTAGAATCCATTTCATAGAATATTCTGTCAATAATCCATTGAGGGATTAGGGAAATGAGTGGCGGAACCACTTTAAACACAAACAAATTGACGGGACTGTAGACCCGATTGGGACTCCGACTGACGACCGCATCGATCATATCATTGACCACAATATCCATATTCCTGGAGCTCATGGATAGCTTTCGGCGCCGTTTCACAGATTTGATTTGGTCGGCAAAGTATAGGTCGCCGTATATCTGACGCACACTATCCGGGGTTTGTATCCAATTCCTCTCGAATGACGGGATCACCGAATAGTAGACACCGGTCTTGAAAAAGGCCGGCTCTATAGTCGACACCTTTACCCTGAATTTTCTCATCTCCCGTCGCAATGCTATTGAAAATGAAATGATAGCCGCCTTTGAACTGCAATAAGCGC